CATTTCACTACATTATAAATATTATGTATGTAATATCTATGGTATTTTGAAATAAAAATGAAATATTTACTCATATTGTTAATCATGTTAATCTTAATAAGAAAACTGATGAAGAAATACAACGAACAAACCTATCATTCTAATCAGCACTTTTGGTGTCTTTGCCTGTAGCATTAAAGCACTAAAAATACAAGTTCATCACGTGAAGTCAAAGAAATGCATTCCTTCTCGGTCACAGCTGGTCTAACAACATACACAAGAAAAACACTATTACTTTCTTGATGGTCAAAAGACCTGGGGAACACTGTGACTGACAATTGAATGCTTGCAGTAAATGCATAAAAAAAAATGCATTGAAGAAATAAACTAAAATCTTAGACTTCACATGTCACTTCTTTATGTGGGCCTCATTCCTGCCTGAACATAATGTTTCACTTTGCACTATATTTCACTGCACAGAGAGAAGAGGGGGAGGAAGCGCTATAAATTCAGTCACTCCTTTCCTTGATACCACAATGGTGTGTATTCACAGAGAAACGCAGTTAGTACTGTGACTGGCTTAGACTGACTCCAAACAGACAAAGACAGATGGTGAGAAACACACTGTTAGCAAGAATCATGAACAAGCACATACAATAGGTATTAGAGAACATACATTCAAGATTAAAAACAAGCACAATTTCAATGAAATACAAGGTTTTGTGCATATTATTTTATTTGAACATTTTTGATACACTGGACGTTGCACTGCAAGTCTCACGTCAAGATACATAATCATATACTGTGTATCTAACCTATTGGCTCGTATTCTTTTGCTTATCCCAGGGTTCTCAACTAGACTTACTGTGACATTTCTCTGAGACATTTCTCAATCTTTGGTACAATACTGATTCTTAGCTGCCTAAACGAAAAACTAGCAGCTATTTGAGATCATATTTGAGCCATTCAACTGTTTTTGAGGAGGCCAAAATACTTTCAAAACAATATAAAAGGAGGACAACTGGTCCTGTGGTCAGTGTTGGTGTGCCCATATGATGGACACCTGTCATTCAAACCCTGAGCTAAACAAAGTCGTCAAGCTGAGTGGAAATTCGCCTCTGGCATCCACCTACCCTTTCACTTGAGCAACACCCTATGACACATTTCCAAAGAAAGCGTAGCGCCTTTTCACACACTTTTCTCAGTTCCTCATAAACATGGCAAGGCGCATGTGTATAATACAACTTCCTGCATTTCGAATAGAATGGCAGAAGTTTGAGGTCAGTAAGACTTTTCTTTTGTGCATTTGATAAAAAAATAGACCAAGAACAGTAATACTATGAAAAAAATGATTACCATTCAAAAGAACCTTTTTTGATTTTAACGCTTTAAAATGTTATTACTATAATGAAAAAGATGAATTTACTCCAGTCTTCAGTGTCACGTGATCCTTCAGAAATCACTCTAATATGCTGATTTGCTCAAGAAACGTTTCCTATTATTATTATTATTATCAGTGTTTAAAACAGTTGTGCTGCTTAATATTTTTTACGGAAACCACGAAACATTTATTTCAGGATTCTTTGATGAGAAGGAAGTTCAAAAGAACAGCATTCATTTGAAATAGAAATCTTTTGTAACATTATAAATGTCACTTTTGATCAATTTAATGCATCCTTGCTGAATAAACACGGTTTCTTTCACAAATATCTTACTGACCCTAATCTATGTACGGCAGTGCACATCAACCCTAATACCATGTGTTTTTCTTAACATAAAAACAAAATCTTTCTTTTACACCTTATTTTTCTTTCCAACACTGCAACTCTGAATACATAAAGGCAGATATCTGTGCAAGTTCTTCCTAAGTGGCAGCAAATGTGCATATCTGTGTGTACATGCATTTCTGAGAATGATTCAAGGCACTGGTCACTTCCTGTGACAACCTGCATCAAAATCCTGTCTGCATGAGATTCTTTACGACATCCTCGGGTGAAAAAAACACACAGATAAACAGAAACAGACACAGACACACAATAAACACTCAAAAAACATGACTTGCACAGATCAGGCACGGCATAAATCGCCAGAGCTCAATTTCCAGCCAGTAATAAACATGTAAAATCATGTTGTAGTCAAACAAAACCAGCTGCTGTTACAATTCTTGTTTCTAACTCATCTTCTGTTCTTAAAAGCATAACTCGGTTCAGAGTCACTATATAAAAATAGATTTATACATATACATATATACTCGTATATAAAAATGGCTGAACATTGGGATATAAATAAAAGTGAAAAAGGCTTCACATTCTGTGTAACAAATGAACAATTTGGTATATTCAACATTCATATTCAAAAGTGCATCTGATCCAAATGAGTCCAATATACTGCCACACGACACTTAAGGCACAACACTTTCGTAATACATTTTCTTTGGCTGGGCTGGAGAGAAAACAACTATACATCCTAATGTGCTCTCAATATCTCGCCACACCCAAAATAACCAATAAAACACCTTACGAGACTTCCCAATTTAACATCTCATCATTATGGGAATAGCATTAGTGAGATTAGCTGCATTTTAGGTACTGTACTGCTGCTCTCTACAGGACACTATAAGGCACTACTGCGGTACAAAACTACACATTACACTTCAACCAAAGAACATTTAGACTTTAACATTATAACCTCAAGCCCTGATCCTCGGCATCTGACCTCAGTCAAAAAATGAATATAAGCCGCTTTCTGTAACAGACTAAAACAGTTCTTACTGAAGTGCAATTCTATTCTCAACATATAAGATTAATCATAAATGCAAACCATTCGAGACTGACGTGCGCAAGACCCTCATTCATCTGAGGCAGGAACAAACCAAGACACAATTATTACGTTCCCTTTAACACTAAATGTCTGGAGTCATAGAGACAATGGGTGCACATGGGAATCTGTGTGGAAGGGGAAATGGCACATAAAAACATTGACTTCATAACTCTGCTGTGGACTGTATGAAACATTCATTACCAGGAGACTTTCTTGGTGAAACTTATTTGAGCTTCAGGGAGACTGACTCCTGCTGGCTTTAGAAGGCACATTTGTTGCAAGAAAAAGTCTAGTTTGAAGCAGCTCAGTGGCCCAAACCTCATCCTGTGACGTCATCAGTCTGTTTACTCCTGGAATAAAGAGTGTGTGCATCACGAAAGTCCTGTAGCACCCACTGCTGTCCCAAAGACATCACATTTCAAACCATTAGTGAACAAACCAGTTTTGTGACCTAATCCAGGACCTAATCCAATCCAGGTCACATGCTCTGGAAACGCAGAGTGCCTTTGAAACTGAGCTTATCACTCTTTGAACAAGGAAACTGAGGGGTTTTAATCTGTGGAAGCAGCTAGATGGACAGTGGGCCTCCTCAACACAAGATCTGGGAGAAGGGATGTCTGAGCAACTCCTCTGCACTCGGCCGGTACTTGGCCTCCACGAAGATGCAGCGAAGGAAGTCCCGCGTGTGCTCGGAGATGTGAGAGGGCAGCTGGGGGTTGGTGGGCTGAGTGGCGATCTTAAATATGGCTGCCATGGCCTCGAATTCAGCCCACGGGGGCTTTTCTGTCAACATCTCCACCACAGTGCAGCCAAGACTCCTGTTCACACAACACAGTTTAAGAAAAAGGACCCGTTAGGTTACATGATATTGTTTATTTCACGAGTTCACACTTACATATAATGAACAGAGTAAAGGTTATGCGTATTTGGCATGCTGTCCGGTGAGAGGGCTCCGAGCTCGGTAATTACTCTCGAGCCCGGGATACTCCCCCTGTCCGGGGAGAGGGGTCCGAGCTCGGGTCTAAGCCCGGACCCAAAGCGCTCCCTCCCCCCGAGTGTTCCTCCCCGTGCTGGGGTAGGAACGGGCTGAAGGTGAGGAGTCGGGGTGGTGGAGGGATGCTGAAAGACTAGAGATAATGGAGGTAAGGCTGCTTTGATTATTTATAGAGGTTCTCTCTTGTGCTGATTGGATAGATGGTGCAATTACTGATGATGAACTGGCCGTGTTAATTATCTGTGCGTGCTCCTCCCGAAATTTGTTAATAAAACATCACTTAACATTCCACGTGTTTTCAAGTACAGTTTGTATATAAATACTATGGTTAAGCTATGTGTAGTATAGCAAAACCGTGGTTAATTTGAGGTTACATTACAACTATAAAAACCATGTTTTTTGCATTTATTTGTAGTAAAACCACGTTTAATTTTTGTAAAGGTACATATGTAATTAAAACATTATGCAATTGAGTGCAGAAATGAAGGTAAGTAATCTTACCTGACGCTGACATTACAGTAGCCTGTTTTAATAGTTTACACAATCTGACTCTTGATTTTACTTTTTTATTTCCTTGCCGGGATTCAAACACATCAAAAATGTGCGCAAGTAGTAAGAGCATCTATGATAGTTCACGTTGGCCAAAACACACAAGTAACTGCGTTGTGAAAAAAATATTGCTGGCAATCACAGACATTCGCATTCGGACGGGATTAGATTTCTCAGAGGATCACTGAGTTTGCCGAAAAACAGTAGGTAATTTGCTCTGGAATTATTACAGCGGTCGTGTGAAAAAAACACAGACATGGCAGATTCGGACGGGATTAAAATCGCAAAGTACGTTTGTGAAACTCAAATTTCTCTAACGACCCCCTGTAAAACTAGTCCCGTCCGAATAGGGCTTTAGTCTAAATTAAAGGCTAGTAGCAGGATTGTAAAATGAAGATTTCGTGGGCATAAATTAAGAATGAGTTCCTACAATTTATTAATTTGTTACCTAATTTTAGTTAAATCATGGGTTATCTAGGGAACAAATTAATGAAACATGGTCTGTGTCTTAATAAGTCGTAGGAACAAATGAACACGTTGTAGGAATGACTTTTCTAGTGAGCGACGCCTCATGGTACCATCACAGAGAGGCACAAAACCACTTTCCAGAACATTTTCGTTTACTGTTCCCCCCGTGGAAGCAGCTAGAGGGAAAACCTCAGCACAAGATCTGGGAGAAGGGATGTCTGAGCAGCTCCTCTGCACTCGGCCGGTATTTGGCCTCCACGAAGATGCAGCGGAGGAAGTCCCGCGTGTGCTCGGAGATGTGAGAGGGCAGCTGGGGGTTGGTGGGCTGAGTGGCAATCTTAAATATGGCTGCCATGGCCTCGAATTCAGCCCACGGGGGCTTTTCTGTCAACATCTCCACCACAGTGCAGCCAAGACTCCTGTTCACACAACACAGTTTAAGAAAAAGGACCCGTTAGGTTACATGATATTGTTTATTTCACGAGTTCACACTTACATATAATGAACAGAGTAAAGGTTATGCGTATTTGGCATGCTGTCCGGGGAGAGGGCTCCGAGCTCGGTAATTACTCTCGAGCCCGGGATACTCCCCCTGTCCGGGGAGAGGGGTCCGAGCTCGGGTCTAAGCCCGGACCCAAAGCGCTCCCTCCCCCCGAGTGTTCCTCCCCGTGCTGGGGTAGGAACGGGCTGAAGGTGAGGAGTCGGGGTGGTGGAGGGATGCTGAAAGACTAGAGATAATGGAGGTAAGGCTGCTTTGATTATTTATAGAGGTTCTCTCTTGTGCTGATTGGATAGATGGTGCAATTACTGATGATGAACTGGCCGTGTTAATTATCTGTGCGTGCTCCTCCCGAAATTTGTTAATAAAACATCACTTAACATTCCACGTGTTTTCAAGTACAGTTTGTATATAAATACTATGGTTAAGCTATGTGTAGTATAGCAAAACCGTGGTTAATTTGAGGTTACATTACAACTATAAAAACCATGTTTTTTGCATTTATTTGTAGTAAAACCACGTTTAATTTTTGTAAAGGTACATATGTAATTAAAACATTATGCAATTGAGTGCAGAAATGAAGGTAAGTAATCTTACCTGACGCTGACATTACAGTAGCCTGTTTTAATAGTTTACACAATCTGACTCTTGATTTTACTTTTTTATTTCCTTGCCGGGATTCAAACACATCAAAAATGTGCGCAAGTAGTAAGAGCATCTATGATAGTTCACGTTGGCCAAAACACACAAGTAACTGCGTTGTGAAAAAAATATTGCTGGCAATCACAGACATTCGCATTCGGACGGGATTAGATTTCTCAGAGGATCACTGAGTTTGCCGAAAAACTGTAGGTAATTTGCTCTGGAATTATTACAGAGTTTGTGTGAGAAAAACACAGACCTGGCAGATTCAGACGGGATTAAAGTCACAAAGTATGTCTCTGAAACACACATTTCTCTAATGACCCCCTGGAAAACTAGTCCCATCTGAATAGGGCTTTAGTCAGCACTAACAGTAGCTGTCTAGCTGATGTTCAGTTTGCATACTGCTGCTCTTCTTCTAGTCACTACTGAGCTCTTTCCTCTCATGATTAAAGCTCCAGGTGAAGGGTTGCCAGTTATCACAAAAAGAGCAAAACAATCCCCTTAAAAATGCAGTATAATAAGCAAATACCAGGGAACAAATTTAAACTATATAACTAGTATTAATAGTATCCTAGAAAATTAAAAGGAAGTAAATGTAATTTATTATGAATAGAATATTTCAATATAAAATATTCAGATATTATAAACCAATTGAAGTAAAACAATAACGTGAGATTTAAGAATAATTCAGAAACAACTTATTTAAGTTGCATTTAATATCAGTCCTTTTGGGCCAGTTAATCTAAAAGTTGAGTGTGTTTTTACTAAATTAATAATTTAAAATACGTTTAATTTCTTAAGCATTTGAGTTTATTTATTATATAAAACCCTTTTTGTAGGTTTTCAGAATAACTACATATAAAAATAGCTATATCGTGAAATATATTGTTACCGTGAAATAAAATGAGTCATACCCCTGGATGTGTGCACTTCTTAGTTTTTTTTATTCATAAACCAAAAAATTGCTCTCACCAGACATCTGCCTTTCGGCCGTACCCCTCTCCACTGATGACCTCTGGGCTCATCCAGTACGGTGTTCCAGTAACAGAACGGACCCCAGTGCTGGACATGCAGATGGTCTGAAGCCGCTTACTGGCACCAAAATCTCCCAGTTTCACATTGCCAGCTGAATCTCGCAGGATGTTGGCACCTGAACGCACCGGAGGAAGTGACCAGGGAGAGCAGTTAGCATGCAATGGACCGAAAGATCTTTGATCCAGTTTTCCTCGTTATATGACTACAAAAAGATTTGCAAGCTATAATAGGTGATCCAAAACTATTAGAACATGAGAAAGTTGTACTCAAGTAGCCACTACTCATATATATATATATATATATATATATATATATAAATAACACAGTATTTGACTATGTGAGGTCTAATGCCAAACGGTACCTTTGATGTCCCTGTGGACGATCATGTTGCTGTGCAAGTAGGACATGCCCTCCAGAATTTGTCTGGTATACTTGCGTGTCACATTCTCTGTCAATGCCCCATAAGCCTTCAGCTGGTCTTTGACTGAACCCTGAGGGTCAAAGACCACAACACCAGTGTCACACTGAACTCTACAGCACAACCACAGTATTGCTAAAAAACAGGTGTGTAATGACACATTACAACCCTTATAATAAAAATTATTTATTTACAAGAAAACATTAGCTGTGATAAAGCACCAAAAATGAAAATTCCGTCATTCCGTCACCCTCATGTCATTCCAAACCTTTCCTTTGTTATTTTTTCTCTGGAACACTAAATAAGTAGTTTCCATAGATCTTTTACATACAACAACAATTTGTAGTGATATGAACTGTCATCATGTTTGATATTTGATTCGTGAGTTGCAGTGCATGAATGAGACTTCTGGGCTGTTACTCACAAAAAGTCATCATATGGCTTCAGAAAACTTATATAGATAATATAAAA